GGGCATTAACGTCATGTAAAATTTTACCACTCAAGGCCATGGTAAGCTGTCTACCCTTTTTGATAGGAATGGCTCTCACATCAAGGTTTTCAAGTAACCGGGAACCTACAGAAAAAAAAAGCTTAAATTAAAGAGGTCATCAAAAAACCAAAGGAGTGATGGCAAAATGCAAAGTGCATTCTGGTACTGGCACAGCTGTTTAGATGATAAAGATGAAAAACCTTTTAGAAACGGCCATGTAAACGAATGTTTTCATCTCCCTGTCTAAACAATTAGGAACTCTTGACAGACGAAGGCTACAGACAAATTGAGGGCAGAAGGCGCTCGGCAAATCTGCTATTTAAACAACGGAAGAATATTAGGTGTGCTTACCAAATCAATTGCTAAACAAGCACTAGCCTTCATCTAGTTGGCCATCAAATATGAAAAGGCTCCACTACTTATGCATCACGAATGTGATTGACTCACCAGTAGTTCCAGCTGGTGAAATGTTCCTTAAGCTTTTAACTACGTCAAGTTTACCTGATGCGTTAGCCTCCCTTGCCAAAGAGCGGATCCACTTCTTGGTCTCATCGTCTGGCATTTCCAGCGAGGCTTGACTCAACTTCAGACTCTCTTTGAACTGGTTCACAATTTCTTTGGAATCACATGATTGTGACAAAAGGGATTTTCTGACCATATCAGGCAAGGCAATTGCTTTTTCTTCGTTTCCTATGGAAAGGTGTACTTTAAAAGAGTTTTCAAGTAATATATTAAACAGGAGAAAGAGGTTTTCATCAGATTATAAAAGCAATGAAAAGTGGGCTAAAAAACGGGAAGTAGCCGACCTTTTCCAAACTCGCCTTGCGATCTTTGGATATCTCATGAAACAGTTTTTGTAGTGATTGATATAGCTTTTTAAACAATTACCAATTCTTGGAAAAATTCAACGCAGAGTTGAACTGAGAAATAAAAGAAGACTGATATCAGAATCAAAATATAATTAAATGAAATTTAAAACTACATAGAATGTAAAAGTAAAACCCCATTTAATTACTAGATAAAACGAAGATAGGTTTACAACCAAATGTGAAATTAAAAAAAATCAATTCCCAGCGAAATTCGAAAAGCAAATGGAAGTGCATTCGCCATGGCCGTGCGCTGCTACTACCATCATGCTACGAGCACTTAAATACTTCGACATGTGCAACAGGGCCCTGCAACTGATCACCAATGAGAACTGCAACGTAATAGAATTGCCCATTTATTTATTACCAACATTTGTGCCCAGTCCCTCAGGTTATTTTGATAAAATCTCGTTAGGTAAGTGGCAGCAGCTTCAAACTCAAGGGACGATATCCCTACTGGGAGTGACGTAAAAATATAGTTTACAGAAACACTTTGTCATATCTGACAAACTCGTTGTTGTTGTCGTTGTGGCCGTTTTTTAATGTCACAAACGTAAACGGTTGTTACCAAAAAAAGATAACTGATACAGAAAGAGATAATCTGTATCAGGCCAGCTAACCTTCACCAGAAGATCGTCTGTCTCGTTCGCCGATTGCTAGCTGCAAAGAGGAAAGACAAAGAGTTACGATAAAGCATATAATACATTTAGTAATGTCTAATATTTTCTCCCCTTGGGGTCTAATAATTTTTTTTGCCTAAAGAGCAACCATGGACTATTATTTCTTTCTTTAGTTTAATTATGGCAGTGTAAATAAAACAGCAAAATATTAGAAAAATCAACCGTCGACTAATGACAAAAACATAGGCACGCAAGGCGTGCAAGAGTTATTTTTTTTGTGTGAAGTGTCGGAGATAAGAGCATTCATGGTACAGTAATGATTTGGTTAATTTGACAAGTTTTTTTGGTTGCGATATTACATAGGTCATAGTAAGATAGCTAAATAGTAAGCCATAAAATGTTTGACTGAACAAACTACAGTAATCTGACACGTCTCCAGATTAATGCAGNGCAATGTTTTTGCGAGTACGCGTGTGACAATCTATCTTTCATTCATTCACCACTCTTAAAGTTTGCCACCTCACTTCACCCTTAAACGTAGACTCGCTTACCTGGTGTCCAGAAAGATCATACCAATGTGAAAACTGCATAACCGAAACTTGAGTGTCTGGTGCCAAAGCAGACCTGTCACAAACCGTACTTCCATTGTCATTGAATAACTTGGAAATAGACAAGAAGTGAAGGCATTGTTCTTCTTTGCATCGTTGTTTCTTATGAGTAAGGCAGTAGTTGACGGCACCTCCGTTACAGCACTCTGGGCAAAGGTCACCCATTTCATATTCGATATCCCATAGCCAGCTGACGTCAATGCGCATGCACTCAATCATCGAGCCAAGTCGTCTACGAAGGGCACCGACACAAGTGACTTCAATGGCTACTTTGTGGTGTGGAAAATCTGTTGACAGGGCCATCACTGACGACTGTTCACCAGCCAAGGCCGGGGTGGGATTCGCCCTGTGAACAACAATCTCAACGGACGAGAAGTGGCAGAGAAGGATCACTGAGCAGTTTTCATCGTTAGAGGTGAAGAATCTGGCAAAATTGTGGAAGAACTTAGGTTTGGCTTGCTTCCAAAACTCGCAACACTGAAAGAACTTCAAGACCAAGCGGGGAAACAAACCTGGAGGGACATGACCACTTTTGAATTTAAGAAATAGAGACGGTATTTTTGCAGACGCGAGAAGCTCAACAATCTCGTCTGGTGGATGTGACGTCAACATCGATGGCACAAGGTAGCTCTTGTTCGCAGAAGTACCTGATGGCCAACAACACAGCAAACTGAATTTCTCCATGATATCAACGAGACTATCGTACTTGTCTCCGTCTCCAAACAAAGGTTTCCACACATGCGTCAAAATTTGTTCATCCAGAATTCCTTCTTCTTCTTCAAGCTTGCCCCATAGTTGTGAGAATTTCTCTTCTTTGCATTCATAGGTCAACTGTACAGTTATTACTTTCTTAAACAAGTCTATTAACCACGGAGGATCCAAGACCACTAACTTGCTCAACGTTGGCGAGTCATAAAAATGAACCAGACTTCGCAAATCATGCAAGTAGTTCATCAGTGTTTCGAACTCTCCGTCGTTAACAATGTTGCAGTCTTCTGACGCAATTTGTTTTGCCGACTCCAAGAAAATCCATTTGTCCCCTTTTTCTCTTCTTAGTGTGCTAAGAACCTTTTCAATTTTAATTGAAATGGATTCGATTGTGTGAAGTAGAGTTTTAGCACGAGCGAGAACTTGCTGATGCAAACGCACGACTTCTTGACAATCTGACACGGCGCCTGACTTTGTGTTCCCTACAACGAACACGTCAAAGAGGTGGTCACCATATGATGGTTCTTTTCGTAGATAACCAAGCGCTTTATAGGCTAATTCTTGAGCATCGCATTTGCCATAGGGAGTATCAGCATGGGTGCAGTCCAGGAAAACTGCAGGAAACTTCTTTGTGAGACCCTCTGATTTGGGGATAAGGCCTCTGTTCTCGTCGAGATTGGCCAGGGAAGCAACAGATCTCATCCTGAAGACATGATAATCCAAATGTGTCTTGAAATTGAAGTCTTCTGGGAATGGTTCGTAGTCCCCTTGTTTCACTAGGGGCAGGGCCACATCATCAGGATTTAGACTAAGGTAATCAACCAAACAGTAGCCTGCTCGCTGTGTCAGAGAGAGGGGGAGGTTGACATAATAAACTGACTGTCCACAAAAAAGCAATAGAGTTGAATAAATGTGTTCCCTACCATCCTTCCAGCCACCTTGAAGTAACGTCTCATTTGCAACTGCTACATCTTCTGGAACGCATGGAGCAAAAGGATCAGAGACTTCTGGATTCTCTCCGGATAGCCTGGGTGGTACCTGGTGGACATCTCCGCTGACGGTATCTCTTGTTTCGCTGGGTATTTCAACGTGCTTGACATCTTTTGGCGTCTCGTTCGTACCTGGTTGCTTTAGTATTTCAGTAACTTCAAAATCTATGGTACTTTCTATTTCTTCCCGACTATCTTCCAACAAGAAGCTCTCACCATTCCTCTTTAGGTTTTCTACGACCAAGATTTGGCCTTTCTCCGTCGTCCCTGTTTTCCACGTCTCGGTGGTCACCTCGAAATACAACGGATCCACATCTATGCCTATGGTACTGTCTTCCTCTGGGTCGAAACATATCCCTCTCAACGACATCTTTAAACTGGTCTTTTCGGCTCTGTCTTGTCCTATCAGCATTATTGGAACCCTATTGACTAACGTTTTTCCATCAGCAAGAGCCTTGTTGTGGGCCTCCAGAGCTGAGGGACCTCGCGCAAGAATTTCGGCAGGGACTGAAACATAATGAAAAGATATTTCATTTACGATGAAAATCAGCAAAATAAAATCTCTTGACTTGTTTTTGAGGAAGTAAGGTTTCTGAACATACATTTTTACTGTTTGTTGTATGCATGTACAGCTTTTGTCACCCAGCAGCAATGATGTACATCATGAAACACCTATGAAATTACATCTGATCCAAATATAAATCCAGTCTAACGAGTAATTCAAACGATCATAAACTCAGAACGTGGAAGGGAGGATATTGCACGCAAAGGGTATAGATTCTATGTTGTCGCGATAGACAAATAAAGCATTGACTGGCTCCTGTTGGTAGAACTCTGAATTTTTCCAAGTACGCGTGTGATAACGTGGGGAAAAGTACACCTTTCATCCATTAAAGTTTTTCCAGTCCAGTTTCCTAATTTCAAATAAAGCCGAGTGATCGGAGAAGCCGATCGGTAAAACTCCAAATACATAGAGTTCGGGCATAGTAGTAAAGATTAAATCGATTAAAGTTCTTGAGGTCTGGGTGATTCCTGTGGGCTCGTTGATTAATTGCTATTATTATATGGCTTTGGCTTGTGGCCGATATAACGCGCGCTCTGATTGGTTAATTGTCACTGAATTGTAGGGCATTATTCTCCCGTAATGC